TGTGGGATAAGCAGGAGGTAAACCCTTAGCTGCTCAGCTGCCGCCTGCTGTTCAGTTAGGTACCTTGAATAATTTTCTGGTAAACTTTAGGAGCCCCGGTGCCTCTAGTTTTATACAGCAGATAAATAGTGGAAAACCTGCATTAAAAGATTATGGACCACATATTAAGTATCTAAGCTGAAACAGGCAATATTCTTATATGCATTTTCTATAGCCTCCAGACCAAAACAGGAACAATCCCTTTATACATAAAGTGTTAACTCTTGCCTTTGTAGAAACATCCTTTTGAAATACTAGGTTATTTGTTAATGTTTTTTTCTTATACAGTCTGTACAAACAAAAATAAATTCTAACCAAGTTAGCTGTATAAGAAGGGACAACATTTTAGAGTCTTGCAGTTGTAAGATCCATGAGGACTCCTCTCAGTACCCTCAGCTGTGCTTCTCATTCCAGTTCCTCGGGCAGGGCAGGCAGTTCAGAAGGGGAGATGTGAAAGTCAGCGAGGTGAGTGAGAAGGTACTGATGCTGCAGAGAGGAACAGGGGCAAAGCCCTGGCCTCCTCAGGGAATCATTAGCAGGCAAACATTCACACTTTCAAATTCTTACCTTTGTCCCTCTGAAAAACATCTAGAAAAATTTCTATGTGAATACTATTCTATATAGTATTTACACTGTGTACTGGAAATGTCACCAATATAGGAAGAAGTAATTTTCTGTAACAAAGACGACTATAACTAAGCTGTTGCATGAAGTAGTTTCAGCTGAGCAGGAAAGTTAGGCAGAAAGTTTCAGCCAAGCAGGACTGAGTAATTTAAGGTCAGCTTTGTAAAAGGAAACAGATCTGCTGTAAACTCAACATTGTTCTAAACAAATACATGCAAGATGAAAAGGAGCATGTTCTGCGGGATGCAGAGGCTATTAAATGCTGACAAGTTCATCTTAGAAACAGGATTTTCAAGTCAGATAATGAACAGCTAAGATAACTCAAATTATGCTCAGATGTAAATAGTAGCATAGACAAAATGCATATGTCGTAGTAGCAGAACAACAAAAGTAACAACAAGGAGCATGGACTTATCTTAGGCCTCTAAAAACTGTTAAAAGTAATCAGTAGCAGAGGGGTTAAAGTTCCGCATGAACAAAATCGTCATCTTCATTGCCTTTAGGAAGTTTAAACTGTTTGGATCTATAAAATACAGATTACAGTTTAATGAGAAATTAAAGTCCTACAATAATAAACCTTCATAACGAGGACGCTGTGAATCTACCATTACGTATTTTAGCTGTAAAGATCAAACAGTTCATCATGAACAGCATGAGCAGTTTTATTTTAGCAGATGTTTATTATTTTGTTCTTTAGTTTCAACTCTTGCTGAACCAGCGTTGGTAAGTTGTGCAATTTAAATATGAGATTCCTTTTAAAAAGTCAGTGAAACAGTGATCTGAATGGTGCTCCACATCACCCTCACCTTCCTTTTTAAGGTGTAGTACCACAGGGACATAAACTTCCCCTGTATAAACACATGGACCGAGAGGTCAGATCTATTCACAAAGGTGGGGAGCGGAAATGATGATAGAGTACCAGATTGGTTATATGTCAGAAACTAACTTTGTCAAATTAAGACTGCATGTTTAAGCCCACATTTGCAAATACTAAAATTAATTCCTTTACTGACAGTCACTAAGCAGCACATACTGCATATACAAGTGTACGCTGTGGTCAACAGGCCTCGGAGAGAGCAACAGGCACCTCTTATTCATGCATCTGATTGATAATAAAACCCTGCAAACAGCAACTGCAACCAACTATCTCTTCTCCCATGCACACACCCAAATGCTCAGCTCACACGGACAGCGGAAAACAGGCGTGTGGAATTGGTAGCTATCTAGTGCGGCGGGAATTGGTGTTAAGGATTTGATACTGTCTTGTTGAGCAAGCAGATCCTCTGACAACGTTTAGGAGACTAACCAGCCATCCCAGTGTCCAACAGCCAACCGACTACTCATGTAGACTCTGTGTGTATGTGTGTCTCTGTGCAAAAACTGTCTGCAGATGGCTGGCCTGTCTATGTGAGAAAGTTTGTCCGAAAAACTTTGCTTGCTCTTGGTGGCACAGGAAACTTAGGCAAAGTGTGATGGAAATGCTACTGGTGCTAGCAGGAAGTCACTGGGAACTGAGCTTGGTGCAGGTGTCCCCAGAGAGGGTGGGCAGGCAGAAATTGCAGGGAATATTCCATGTCCTAGTCCTCATGAAATACTTTCTGCTTCAGCCATGCGATAGTAAATCTAGATTTGCAACACTTGCCACCAGCTTTAAAAAACAAAGGTTGTGGCCACTCACTGCAGACCACTGAGCCAGTACAAACTCTGCTGATTGACTGAAAAAAATACTGAAAAGCGTTGAAGCAGGCTGTTACAGTTGTCTTTATTCCAGGTCGGAGAGCATCTGCTCTCATGCAGCTGGGATAAACACTGCGTCAAGTGCATGGCTAGTTTGATAGACACCAAATTATACCAGTGCCTGACCTTGATCAAATTTACATTGCCAGATGAGCATGCACAGGCCTGACATGAGCAGATCTGGAGCCATGGCCTTATTCTATCAATTCAGCACCTCAGGCTGCTGGTCAGAGTGCAGCTTCCAATAGGGAACCTGCCCAAGCAGGTTAGTGTTTCGAAACTGAAATTGCAAGGTGGAGTTTGCATATAATATTTTAAACCCTATTCTGTAGATGAGAGCCTTGGTGACGTGCAGGGAAAAGATTGTGATGAGTAAAATTAACCAAGAAGCTGGGTTTTTTTCAGCTGCCACTTGGCCCTTTGTTTCCTTCTTTGCTTTTTGGTGCTTTCCTGGCTCTCTCCGATTCACACAGCTGAGCTGGGATCTTTGCTGGTGCGCAACGGCACGAAGAGCTGAAACAGCATTGCTGTCACTAGCAGACATACAGGAGCCGGTCCCTGCCGAAGGACTGCCGCATGCAAACAGGGCAGCTCAACAGACACGATCCAACCCCAGCTGTTGCAAAAGAGGCACCAGGCACTTCAGGCAACCACAACAAACACCAAGTGGGTTTGCGCTGGAGAGACGGGGAAAGGGCAGCAATAAACAAAAACACGCCCAGGGTAAGAGTTCCTACTTCTCCAGCCTGATGTCAGATTCCTTTATGTCGACAAATACTTTGGATGTATGTGTACAGGCTTCTACTGTAATTTAGTGTAAACATATTTATATTGGCTTGCTTATCCACTGAGCTTTCTTCACAGGTACACAATGCAATAAGTGCACGTCTTTCCAGCATGTATAATGTAAAATACTGCATTTACTTATCTGACAGTTTTGAAACAAAATTATTGTCTTCATAAATAGTTTAATAATTGACATAAATAAAATACTATGTTTCCTTCTTCTGTTCCTGAACATCAATAAATGCAATATACATACTGAGCATGAAAGCTGCTAGGAGCAAATATAAGATCTTTACTACTTTAGCCATTACATTACTTTAATAAAACATAAAATTGGATTCTAATCTGAAAGTATTAAATAGAACATTTTTTTTACAAACTTAAGAGATTACTTGGGTACTGCCAAAGAGTTGTAAGTTTAAGCTCAGCTGCCCTCATTTCCCCGAATAAACTATTTTCACATCCTCTCCTATTTCCCCCTAATTATAAATTGGGAAAGTAACTGAATCTGATGTTAAGATGACAAATAACATGATTAGTGTCATCACTTTGTTTTATTTGGTCTATGACCAAATCTCATTTCATAAGTCATTTGATTGCCACTTACTAATAACAACCTATCCTCTTGAAGGAGAGGATATTCTAGGAGCATCTCTATGCTTGAAAGATGTAAAAAAACTCAATTCAGGGTGGGTGGGAGCAAAGTTGCATTTATGTTACCCTGTACGCGCTCTGCTACTACTCTGTTCTTCTCCTGAGATGATACAGAACACTGATTCTAGCTGCCAGGTTAATTGTATTGGTACTTCACCCCTGGCCAGCTCCAGTCGATGTCCGCTGCAGCAAGCCGGCAGCACAGGCATCTTCTTTCTAAGGCTGAAGCTTAAAAACCATGGACTTTTTGAAACAAAGCCAATTACAGGGTGTCCAGCACACTAGTTACAAAGTCTGCAGTCTCAAGAGTTCATGTTTCAGACACTACTCAACAGGTAGAGTATAAAAGGAGGTAAAAAAGCGGGGCAATAAGGGGTTTAGGAAAAAAGGAGAGACATCATATTTTAGGTAGGGTTTTTCTTGTTTTTCAACTGAAATGCCCCTACCATAATTGAATATGTTCTGTATATGATATGCATGCTTTACCAGTCTTCCAAAAGTAAAACAAAAATGGTCTTTTTTTTTGAAGTCCAAGAAAATAAGAATTTTATTACAAATTTTCATGGAAGTAAATCCCCACATTTTTAATAAATCAGCTGCATTATTTGCATAATGATGATGAACCAGTCAAGTAATTAATTGTATTAAATAATTGAGGAAACTAAATAAATAATAAAATCATTCTATAAATACATACATACCAAGCTTAGAGAAGCAGCTTATAGTTGTATAGTATTGTGCAAAACCTTTTGTGTACACATCTCTCCTGTCAGCAAAGCTATGGCAGACCAGAACAAATCTACGCCATATAATTTCTCAAGATGAAAACTCTCCATGTCCAAGCAGCTCTCCCTGGAATAACAAAATATGCAGCACCGTTGTTTCTGTACCAAACCCAGCTTCGTAACTCCAGACAGTCTTTAGAATTGAAAGCTCTTTAAGAAGCAGATATCGTTTTTATCAAACGATAAAAACAAGGACTGATTGAAATTGTTTTCGCAAAATAATTTGCTGTCACAGAGTCCCGGAATACAGAAGAACACTAAGAGATACTGCAGAATAAAACAGTGTTTGCACACACCCTGAACCTGTTTCTAAACAAAAACGGAGTGTTAAGAAAAACACTTCTTTGATCCAAAAGTCAGTGTCAGGTTGCCATATTACTTCACGATGGAAACAGTATTTTCATGTTGGTTTCCAAATAAGTGCAAGAAGAATTGAAAAGCCGTGCTAATGTGGACAGGGACAAAGATGTAAGCAGTGTATAAGACCATAACTAACATAGTAATGTTGAAAGTGTAGAAGAGCAGTTTTTCCCAGGGCTCCATGAGATAGCTGCAGGTGATTAGTTCAAACTGGCAGTACAGCCAATAGAGATAGTTCTTCATGCTCTTAATATCCATCTTCAACTTTGTGCCACTTCTGAAAGCCTTCCCTATTACAAGAAAGGATAGTTAGTAGAAACAGAAACCTTACAAAAAAAAGAAGGCAAAAAAATATATAAAAACATCATATGGGCAGCAACTCCATGCTGCTCAGTTTGCTCATACTGACCATTTTTAGTAAATGATGTTTTAAAAACACAAGAGATCTAAAATTCCAAGGTTGCAAATACATTTTAAAGCATAAAACATGATCAGATAGTAACAGACTAGCATGAGTCATTCTTTCACCCCATCCCATAAAAGGCTTCATTTGTATTCCTTTTTCCTTTCCTACATTCAGTTCTGAACAGGACAGTCCAACTTAGACCACTGTGTACTGGGCACCATTATTTACCAAGGAGGCTCCACAATATCTCTTTTTTCCAGAAACCGGTTACCCAATAATGGTTGCAATTCTCCAAGCCAAACTCTACTTTCATAACTTTGCCTTGCACTGGATTGTTTAAGACTGTTGAAGCAGCTTAATTCAAAAAGCACTTCAAACCCTCTCTCCTTCACCACTCTTGGATTTTGACATAGAACTTGGCTAGAAGTCTGATTTCCACTACTGCAGACTGAATTTTGTGTCTTATGCTTCAGTCGCTGCTGGAATGCAAACTGAGAGTATGCAGAATACCACACATACAGAACTACAATAAAAGGAAACTATATACAGGTTATCCAGCTTCTTCTGCAACAGAGATTGAGTGGATCTGCTGCCAGAATGAAAACATATAAATTTATTTTAAAGCTATGTGTTCAAATTAATGCTAATAATTATTGAATGTTACATTATATAGTTACCAGAATACAGAACTGGAGAGGTAAAGGGAAAACAGGATTATTTCAGTTACTGGTGCTTCCCGTCATTTGGTAAATAAGAGGAGACAAAACAAAAACTGTGATTCCCCACTTTTTAATTGGAAACTTAAGAACTTCTGGTGGTGTCAAGATCTGTGGAAAAAAACTTACTCCACAGAAATTAAATACAACTTCATAGTTCTATATAGAGTGGGATTTTATCCTAACAAAAGTCACTTCCTAAAGTTTTTAGAAAAATTTTGCCTCACCTTTTCCACTTTACTTCCATAGCTTCCCCACCTCTTTTCTGCCTGACAGGTGAGATAAACTAGATAATGCTTCTATAGTTAAGAATTATTATTAACTACTTTTAGCAGTATCCTTACTATATCCATCACATTTCTGTACATTACATGCAGTTTTTACTAAATCTAGGTTATACTTAAGCCTCTTACCATCAAATGTATTGCCAAGCTACTTTGAGGAAAGACTTTTCCTACAAAAAATTGACTTTGTAAAAAGTAGAACTTACCTCTTCACTTCTCCCTGATGACAAAACGTCTAGGTGATAGATGCTTCCTAACACTTCTGCCTTTTGCAGCTGAACAGCTCCTATACAGATTGAGAAGCAGAAACAATTAGCTTTGATCCTCAATTACAGAGTGTGTCCTCCACACCCCGCCCTTCTTCACTATTGCTAAAAACTCCTCTGGCCAAAGCTTTCTGCATTATGCAACGAGGACAGCCATCGTCTGGCTCGGTACTGTGCTCTCATGACAGCATTAATTTGATAATTTGTACAAAGTCAGAGTTGAGGAACATACAAGACCGAAATACCATTTAGGACAACCAGAAAAAAATGTTTACAATTAGTGCCTTCCCTAATTTCGAATCTCAAAAAACATCTCTGCTTCTGTGGGACTTTACAATGCAGGCTGCCAAAGTTCCTACAAGGTGCAATTTAATGTCCATGCAAAAATATGGTGTCAGAGTTCAGTAGCCACAAAAATGTAGCTCAATTACTATGTCACAGGAAAGTCTCTGGTGAAGCCACCACCTCCTGCAACCTTTGATTAATACCACTTTCAGACAGTTCCCAGTCTTCTCTGTGCCGGCATCTCCTAGCCCCGTATACACACCTCAGTTGTCCTCATTCAGAAAAAACAGAGTGGAGACAATACATGGACAAGATTTCTGCAAGGAAAAGATGGTGAGTTTTTCTTAAAAATGCCACAAAATAAAACCAAGCCACAAATGCTTGAGGCATTTTAATGATCTAATTGGACAAGTAAATTAGGTAGAAATCTGCATAATACATTTATGTTCTGCCTGCAGTCAAATCATTTCCAAATATGAATCAGCTTCATTTTGGGAGAATATGCCACAAGCAATGTCTAAGGCATCTGAGCCTCACCTTCTTTCTTCCGTTCCTTACCAAACACAGCCTGAGATGATCTATTAGTAGATGCTGACCTACTCCCTCAACCTTTTTTCCTCCATAGTTTTCAACAAACTAAAGTTTTCTGTTTAAAAACTGTCCACTTTCCATAGAAAATTCAGAAATGGTAAACCACTGCCCCTGGCAGCAGTAGTCAATATGCCCCATGCCCTACATTTCTCCTGCAGAGCGAGGGTCTGCCACAGGAGTGCATCTCCCGAGCTGGACGAACTACTGCATCTGGAAGATATAACTTAGGTTGGGGTCTAGAGAATGGACTCATCAAATGTGAAATATAATTGCCCTGGGGTAGTGCTGCGGGATTATTATCTCAAGAGTTTCTACTTTCAACCAGGCTTTTTCAGCTACATATTTCAATGGAGTATGGAGGGCTGGGGTGGGACAAGGAGTTTTTTAGTTTGTTTTTTTTCCATGAAAATGTTGGTGAAAAACAACGTATACACAGGAGAAACAACACTTGACTACCACAGTGCCCACGTTCTTGGCAGGCCAGCATCCCTGCTTCATGTTACTCACCTTCCCTGCAAGTTGGATCAGCCTCTTCCGAATCCCTTAGCAAGATGCAGTGGCAGAGCACTGATTACAAGGGCAGCTGAAGGCAGGGCTGTCACCTCAGTGCTCTCTGAATCCTCTCTGGAAAACATTTGTGTAAAAGCCAGGAAAACTCGGGTAGGTACTTCTGCCGTTCTCAAGTGCAAAACTGTACAGATGTTTTCACTCTTTTCAATAATTCTCCACTATTTCTTTCAATAACAGATTCCCCAAGTTGAAACAATGCAGAAACTGAGACTTGTCTGGGTTTGCTTTAGTTCTAACAGCTTCAAAAAGTTTTTTACCTGACAGCTGAGAGCCATTGTGAAAGAGATAGGTGGTAGTGCAGAAGATCAGGCAATTTCACAGAATAAAACGTTGGGGTAAGCAGAATCCATTCCCAATGTGATGCTGTAAGCAGATCTTGGATGGTGGTATGTAAAGGCCCCAGGCATCCTCTCCTCCTCGCTTTCTGAGCAGCCACTCCTGCTGCTTTTCCCAGCTGCTACCCCGAGGGGTAATAAGAACTCATGAATACCTTTCACAATTCGTAATCAGATGTGTATAGCTCCACTCAGAATACAAAATATGCCTGAAATGCCTGCCTTTTAAGGCAATTTTAGCCTATGTGCTTTAAGATACTTTTCCCCACATAGAGAAGAAACAGAAATGGTCTTCAAGATTAAAAAAAACAAAAACACAACAACAACGACAAAAACCAGACAAAAACATACTGCTACATTTGGTAAGATGCTGTGATGGATGACTGCATATGCATGGAGAAAGCATTTTTTTGCAAAGATCTTACTCTGAAGAGCAAGAAAGAGACTCTCCTGGGTAGCACTCTGTCTCAGAGGGGCTGGTCCCTTGTTTTCAGGTCACTTGATCATGTTGCCCACACAATTAAATTTCAAAACCTCTTTTCACTGCTTCTCACTGTGGTTTCCAGCCAAACAAATTCAAACACAGCCATATAAAAGTCATACAGTGACACAGCAATAATTCTTCCTAGCAAGGGAAACATGAATTAAAAAAGCAAACCAGAAACATTCAAATTACCACTGCACTAAAAGGAAATCACCAGCCTCCCTTTTTTAAGTTCAGTGAGGTTCCCCATACAGAAGAGCAGCGACTTCCGGTTTATACAGAATTTAGCAGATTAGCTCCGTAAGCAGAAGTAAGGGGGTTTCTCCTATTATTTCATGCCTTATAATGGGATCCTCTGATGTCTAATAAGGTGTAAACCTATACTGAGGCATTTGCTCTGCATTTGGCTTCAGAATGGCTGTCTTCTGTGTGGCTCCTCTGCTGACTAGTAAGGACTATGTAAGAATGCTGCTTTTCTCTTCTTGATCTTCTCTTTTGACAAAATTTATATCTTTAATTTCAGTACTTCTTTTCCCGATTTAACTGAAATTGCTCATGGGTTAAAAAGTATGGTATGTGGGAATATATAGAGAGAGAGGTAATGAAAGAAAATAAGCCTCATTTCCGTAGAAGACCAAGCTAAAAGTGCCTGAAATATCTCTGTCTCACATCTATACACTGCGGTAAGTCATTTATCTGTCTACTTAAAATTAAGACACTGGAAAATAATCGAAGCAGAAAGTCAAGGTGATCAGGAGAGCTTTCTCTCTAACCTACCCCATCTGTCTATCCACACAAAGCAAGGCACAGACAAGTTTGTTTTGTCATAATAGTATACTTGAGTTTGTTTGATCTGTTTTGGCTCCAGCACCGTTTGGAAAGAATGGAAAGAAGCAACGATGAATTATTAACATACTGGGGAGGCAGCCTTCTGCAGCTCTCCACGACAGCCAGCATCTGCATGTGCATTAGCACAAGCTTTTCTAGCTGCAGCTTCAAGTCCATAATGTCGTTCTTGGCCAGGCAACCTTTTCCTGTCCTCTCCCTCGTGCTGGCAGGGAGAGCACATCAGGGAACTAGTCAGACCTGGCAGGACAAAGATGCGCAAGCATCCTCAGTCTGCACACAACCTGACCACACAACTGCAGGTGCTGGAGGAAGGGACGGGATGGAAACACATGACAAGGGCAGGGAGATGGTGGGAGGCTGGGCAGTCCAAGGCAGCCCAGGCAAAGATGAGCTTAACCTGCTGCATAAACAGTGGTACCACTCTCCTCCTATGAACATCTGCAGCCTCTGATAGTATCCTGTGTCCTCAAGACACCTGAGCACCAGCTTCACGGCATAGGGAAAGAAACTCAGCAATAAGGGATGGCTCATATAGTGGATTGTTAGCTTGACTTGCCAATACAGTCAAGCTGCACCAAAGAACCTACAGAATGAATATACACTACTGTTCTTGGAAAGGAGAAAAATTGCCCTCTAGTGTAGAACAGGCCAGTTCTTAGAAAGGCTCTGTTCTGCATGGTGTAAAGTATCTGGCATGCGGCTCCACAATCCCACCACCAGACAACAGGTTTATCTGGAGCGGTATCACGCCTGGAATCAGGCTGTATGACACCACGTAACAACTAGATGAGGAATGTATCCTGATGAGGAATGTATCTTGGCTCCAGCTTATAGGGGCTTGACTTACTGCTGTTTGTAATGCAAATAACATATTTTAATTATTACATTGTTGTCTGCAAGAGTCATACGATTTCCCAGCATGCTTCCCCACACCTGGCTAGACCAGTTCAGGAACTTTTTTAATTCTACATCAAGACAGATAATTAAGTAAGTGAAAACTATGGCGGCTAGCGATCTCCAAAAGCACAAGGAATACGCATAGTTGGCCCAGAAGGATTAGGCCCAGACCATTTCAACTTGAAGTAAGATATCATACCATTTAATATGTCACAAACTGAGCATTTCATAAAAGTTGGACAGTTAAGCATGTCAGTTGTGAAGAGCAGTGAACCTACATCTTCCCAGTTGCAATTGCTTCTTCTTACTATACAGCTCACTCAAATAGTTTTTTATCTAGCTACCACTGATGCACAGGAAACTCCAGCAAAGCAAGTTTCTTCTGTCCACCAGTGTCCCAGCAGTATATAAAGAACACTCTTGTATGGCAGTCTGCAGTCGCAGTTCTTGCATGCCTGGTCTCTCACCAAGGTCAGGGGCTCTCCTCTAGGTGGGTTTCAAATCCACCACATTTTCCAGCTCCAGGCTGTGCCTTGTTCCTTCACCTGGCAGGCTTTCACATCCCTTTCTGAATTGAGGATGGGTCATTTAGGAATAGAAAAGATAAGGGAAGTTATGTGTTCCCGCACTGAGCCAATAAGCTCTGCTTTCTCCCTCTTACTTCTCTAAGCTGTTAACAATGTTTATCAGTTTCAGTTCTTTTCCCCAGCGCTACCCATGCTGTGGTATCACTCAGCTTGTAACTGATGTTGTTTCAGGTGCAAAGCAAGTATCACTGAAAAGGAAAAGCTGCCTAAAAGGACTTTAAAATCTAGAACTGTACAAAGCCATGGCTGTGAGTTGCAGAGCTGAATGCCCAGCCTGGGACTAGGAGTTGATTAAACTGGGAGTTCTTCTAAGACCAAGATTCTCCCATTCTCTAATTTCTAGGATCATTCTGTAATTTTACTTTAAAATAGGGGTGATACAATCTTAGCTATCTTGCAGACCTTCAGCACACTTTATATGAAGAACTGACTGAAGTGGTAAGAAGAAATTTAATTTGGCTTTTAGTAGAGAAATAGCTGCGGTTCTTATTTATTTTAGACATTTTTACAAGCATACAGCAAATCATATGCACAATGACAGTCATAACAAGCATAGTTCTGTCAAAGACTATGGAAGAATTTATTAACATAGGACTTGGAAAAAAAAAAAGTGCATTTTCTCAACCAGATTGTTTATTCTGTATATTAGTCTGAAATCATACTTCCTGTCATTAGCCTAATTGTCAGGTATACAGAAAATTACAGCACAATGCCCTGCTAAAAGTGACACCACAGTAGAGTGGCACAGGATGGGAATCAGGAACTTTCCATTAGCACTGATCAGGGACATCACACCCTCCTGCACTCCCATCTCCTCTTGTTTCTTCTCCCTTCCTCATTCAGATCGTAAGTATATGCCCCTCTCGTGAACAGTCTGAGTAAACATTTCAACTACATAACTTCAATGAAATTCCACCTTTAATTGAGAACTCTGAAGCTGACTCCCAAGTACTCCTGCAGCAACTGAGTGTCGAGAGATGACAAAAAAATACTGCAAACTTCAGTTGTGCTGCCAGCAAATACAGTTGTCTCCCACATGTGTGTGGAGTAGAGGGTTTCTATATATAGGCTCAGGATGGCAACAGCTGTAGTCCAAATGTGCTCCATTAATGCTTCATCCCTTTTCCAGGAAGGCACTCAGCTGCCTGATTCTGTCACAAGCATTGAGGGAATCCCAAAGCCTTCATGATTTACCCCAGTAGCAAAAAAGGCAAAAAGGGCTCTTCAGCAGGCAACAATTGATTTTAAATCATTGCAGCATGAAACCCTCTCCCATCTAATGCTGAAACCACAGGAAACAATGCACTGGGTTTGGAAAATGCAAAAGAACATTCCATTTATGGAGCATCAAAAGGATAATAGCTGTGTGCTTGGTTCTCTCTCCCAGGTATGTCAACACATACTTAGCTAGAGCTAAGAATCCACCAGAACTGGTGCACTGTACAGAAGATTTCTCTGTAAGACAAATTAGCATCGGGTGAGGTCCAAGGAGCTGGTTTTTTCAGAATGAAAGACAAGGAACTCAAGATTTGTTTTTTTAAGAAAATATGCAAGTCAAAAGGATGAGCTCAGTGATTTTCTCATGTTATAACTAAGGCAGGTAGTTACCAAAATGGGTGTCCCTTCCTGGGGAAGAATAATGACTGCTCATTCACATCCTCTTTAATTTCAGTTGCGGCATCTAAAGCCTACCTGAAGCTTTTACCACCCCAAAAAAGAGTTCTCAAAGCTGAATTCGGTATTTCAGCAGAGTATAGCTCCTCATCCAGCCATCATCAGGAGACCCAGCCTTGCCCTGAGAAAAAAGCCCTGCCAGTCGGCTGGCGAGGGGCGCAGTGTCTCTGCAAGGCAGGAGCCCTTGCACACTAAGTGCTC